ATACATCAATGTTACCTGCACTAGCAACTAATCTCAACTCGCCATCTTATTCCTCTACACTAACGGCAATTAGCATAATAAACATTGAAAGACACTCCTTTCTCTTTAACCCTTCCTGCTCATTTTCTGTTTTTTCCTACTAAACCTATTACTTCCTTATCACCCAAAGTCCCTGGCTTTTTTTCAATATCTACCGTCTTCTGCTTATTACTAGTTCCCCTAGAACTCGTAATATTACTACACTGGGACTTCAACCTGGTTTTCCTGCCAAAAACCCATACCACTAACTATTCCTATTTGAAGTCCTAACTGCTCCCTCCACTGCAGTTGCCAGTGGCTACCACCCCAGACCTAATGAGTGAACCCCATCCTGCATACATGTCTTTTCCTGCTGCATAGAGAGGTCCCAGTTGTCAATAATGTTACCGCATTTTACCTTACAGTATTTGTCCAGCAGCAATTGCACCAATGGCCCTTGGACAACCTTTCATTTCCAACTCCTCTCCTTGGCAAAATACCCATAATGACAGGGTTCCCACCCTTACTCCTAATATTTCTGTTGCTGACCTATACTGCTAATCAGGTCTTCACTCCTACGTCTGCCCCCCCCAAACCAAAAAAAAATAACCCATCGTTTGCCTCCACACTGAGACAGATTAATAGGATTGCTCCCATTACCTCTCATGATTGGCATCCAGAGGACGGCTAACAATATCCTCCATTCCAGCCCAGAAAGCAAACTCTCTGTCGTCCTACTCCTGTCCTTCAAGCAGAATACGCCCTATCCATATACCTAACTTGGGCTATCCAAACAACAACAAATATTCTTACCTTCCTTGGTGTCGTTCGTCGGACATTCCCAATAGTCGACTCACATCGTCGGGTAGCACTGAAATGTGATTAGATGTTTTCCCCCCACAACAGTTTCCATGCAGTTCTCTTTCTTCATCGTTTCAACTTTTCCATTCGTCTTCTTGATCGTCACTTCGTTCCTGCTGTCCAGCCAGTGACCAGTTTTCCCTTCTTGACCTGAGGGACTCAAAACAGGAGAACTACTACGAATCTCTTGTATTCCTCGGTCATCGCCGATCTCTCCATCTTCGCAATCCTCAATTCTTCCCCTAACTGTTGTAAAAGTTGCTCGATGGGGGCAACAATTCGTAAGAGCGCACAAACAGGTCTTCACAGAGCTAAGTTACCTAGAGTCCCTGGACCCGTTATGTACCTCAGTAATCTTTTGACAACCACTGCGACGGATGGTATGGGGGTGCAAAATAAAGAGATAAACTAAAAAAGAACTGACACACCAGTTTTATACTGTTGGAGTCCCTTGTCACTCCAGATCACTACCTGCTCCCAGATGTAGTTTGCGTGTTGTGGTGAAAGCAATAAAACGAGATTCCGCCTTATTATGGGTCTGGGGTTCCTGGTGAAGTTTTCCTAGAGTTATTGTATGATGAACACCGGTGCGCCACACTGACGCTGGTGCACCACACGGACGCAGGTGCAACCACAGGGACACTGGTGCACCTCAACGGATGCTGGTGCACCACAGGGACAACTGGAGCACCAAACGGACGCGGTTTCACCACAGGGACGCGTTTGTACCACAGTAAAATTATTATGAGTCAAAGTGTATTATTATGAGACCAGTAGATTATTATGAATGTTAATATTATGCAGTGTAACATTCTGAAAGATTCTCCGTAAAGCGCTCAACATATCTAGGTTTTACAACGTTAATTGGCTTACGTGTTTTTTCAACGTCTTCTTGTCTACTCTACCTGTAACTTCAACAAATGCTACAGTATCAGTGTTATCCTGAGTCACCGTTACCCTGGGTCAGTGTTACCCTAGGTCAGGGTCACTAGTGAGGTGCCATAAGAATCCTGGCTCCACATAGCCAGGAGAAACTAATAGCGGCCATCAGAGTAGGAACCAGGAGTTGAGACTCGAACCTTGCAATCACAAATATGTAAGAACACACACACGCAATCAATCACATGCATACACAATCACACACACACAACGCACAATCATACACGCAGTCTTGCCATGACAACAAAAACAGAAGCATTTCAAGGCCAGTGTGTATGTGAGCGTGACAAGCACATTCTCATCTTTCTTGTTCTCTCCTCTAACCTCTTGCAACTACGTCTGGAGACCCCCCCCTTGCATCCACCCAAACCACACCACCACTCCTAAAAAATATGGGGGTCTCCAGGAATATCGAATAAGTCATGTGAGATTTACCCATGGTTAATATTTTCGAGACGGAAAAGATAGGCCAAAAGCAGTAGGCGAGAGACTGGAGATGATCTGAAAGAAAAGATAAATCAGACAATACAAACAAATTTTATTTCTTTTTGTAAGTATAAAAATGTACTCTCAAACCTTTCTCCCGAGGTATATTACAGACAACTTAGTGCAATAAGGTAGCTATGCAAATATGAATGGCTTCAAGAAATTCCAAAGATCCTAAGGAAGCATTCAGACTGGATGCTGAACTGAGGAGAAGTTCAATTTGGAAAGAACGAAAGAATAAACCCAGTAAAGATTAGAAGGACCATGGGTGCAATTAGAGAAACACTCGTCAACATCAGTGCTCAAAAACTCTTCAAGCATACTACCAGCAGATATCAGAAATATTGCAGGAACGAAGAATGGAAGTTTTCAAGAAAAGCTGGACAGTCACCCTCTGCAGCTGCTGGAACAGCCATGTTGCAATGGCTATGTGGGCCTACGTGCTGGCTATCACAAACAGCCTGGTTGACCAGGTCAACAGAGAAGCCTAGCCTCAGGCCGGGCGGTGAGGGGTAAAAGAGCCTCTTAAAAACCGGTCACATAAAGCAGAATAGCAACTATCAATTACTGGAAGAATGAATGACCATGAGGGATGTCGCAACATACAAAATTCTGAGGAGCATAAATAGGAAAGATAAAAAGCCACTAATAAAAGTAAAATGAACAAGAAACATGATTGGAAATCACACGCCCAAAATGATTTTACGTGGATATCAGAAAACATAAAAGATTAATAATGCAATGAACAATACAGTGGAACTTGCGCCATACATCGTACATACACATCTTCAAATATAGTTTTAATTGTTAGCATCGTCAATTCTTCCTTAAGCTGTTGTAAAGTTGCTCGATGAGGGCATCTTGCATCCAATTCGTAGAGAGCGCGCAAAACAGGTCTTCACAGAGCTAAGTACACGTCACCACTGCGCAAAAGCCAACTCAATCATGGAAAAGGCCTACTCAGTCAAAATTTGTCCCAAATTTTTCGTTGCATCAGCATCAGTTTTTGTCCACCGTACTGAACGTGTCCACCCTACCCATAGCCCATGCCCAAAACAGAAGCATCCCACGCACACGTTTCCGAGTCAGTCCAGCTTTGTTTCTCGTCGAGTGAACATTACATGTATAATATATATATAAATATATATATAATATAATATATATATATATATAATATATATATAATATATATATATATGTTGTGTGTGTGTGTATGTATGTATGTGTGTGTGGTGTGTACTCACCAAATTGGTTGCACAGGGTCGAGTCATTGCTCCTAGCCCCGCTCTTTCACTGGTCGATACTAATTCACTCTCTTCCTGCTCCAGGATATTTGTCATACCTCTTCTTAAAAGCTATTTTATGGAACTTGCTTCCACACTTCACTCTCCAGATTATTCCAGTCCTGACAAAATCTAAGACTAAAGAAATACTTTCCTAACATCCCTATGACTCATCTGGTTTTTCAGGTTCCAATTTGTCCCCGTGTTTTCTGTATCCCATCTCTGAAACGATTCGATAGTACTTGTCCACGTTGTCAATCCTCTTAGTATTTTACCACTTTTTTTATCATGTCCCCTCTATTCCTCCCTATCCCTAGTGTCATAATGTTGAGTTCCCTTAACCATCATCCTCATATGACATACCCCTCAGTTCGGGGCAATCGTGTTGCAAATTTTTGCACTTTCTCCATTCGTGACGTGTTTGACTAAGTGGAGGGTTCCATACTGGCCCTGCATATTCCATTATAGGCCTTACGTACCTGTGTACAATGCGTGAATGACCCTTTCTCAGATGTGTGTTAGTATACCATTTGTCCTAGGCAGCATGTCGATTAGACACAGGCCTTTATTTGCGAGTGTGTTGGGGGTGTGTGTGTGTGCACTCCGCCTAATTGTGGTTAAGGGGTAGAGTCCATAGCTCCTGGCCCTGCCTCTACTCTGGTCGCTACTAGGTCACTCTTCCTGCATCCATGAGCTTATCATACCTCTTACCCTCTTCTTAAAGCTAATTGGGGCATGAGTCTGCCTCCACTACATCACTCCCAGACTATTCCACTTCCTGACAACTCTGTGACTCGAAGAAATACTTTCCAACATCCCTGTGATTCATACCAGTCCTTCAACTTTCGAATGTGACCCCATGTTGCGCGCGCGCGCGCGCGCGCTGCGTGTGTTGTGTGTGTGTGTGTGTGTGTGTGTGGTGTGTGTGTGTGTGTTTGTGTGCGTGTGTGTGTGTGGTGTTGTGTGTGTGTGTGTGTGTGTGTGTGTGTTTGTGGTGTGTGGTGTGTGTGTACTAACTCCTAGTGTACTCACCTATTTTGAGGTTGTAGGGGCGAGTCTGACTCCTGGCCCCGCCTCTTTCACTTGATCGCTACTCTAGGTCACTCTCCCGACCGTGAGCTTTATCATACCTCTGTGTGTGTGTGGTGTGTGTGTTGTGTGTGTGTGTGTGTTTGTGTGTGTGTGTGTGTGTGTGTATTGTGTGTTGTGTGTGTGTGTCAACCATACACATATGTTGACATAAACATAAACACACACACACACACACACACACACACACACACACACACACACACACACACACACACATGCCTCTAAGCTTCCACTTCAACACCAGCATAAACCTACACCTGCGTCTGAACGTCATGATCTATGTCATTGTCACAATGTCATCTGTGTTTTCGTTACGAACAGGGAGCAGATGATCGTGTACGTGTCAGCATCCACACCGGAGAGGAAGACGTCTCCTTCCCAAGTTTAAATGTAAGTTGATTCCTTGAACAGTTCTGACTTTGAAAAGTAATTATTGTTGTGAAATGTGTCTCTCTGCCTGTGTTTGCCTCTCTCTCTTTGATCGTTACTTTCTTATTTTTATCTCTCGCTTTCCTACTATTCACTCAATCATTCTCTCTCTTTCCCCTCTCTGTCTCTCAAGCAGGCATTGTCGCAGCCATTGAAATATTTGTAATTTCAGTATCCAATAATTGAGAATATCAAGGACTGAATGGATGAGCAATGCTTGCTACAAAGCTTCGAGGACTCCTTGCAATAACTCAACGGTCCTTTCGCTCAGGGGTCAGAGATCTGCAAGCTGGAAACCCTTGATCCAGATACCCTTCAACGGGAGGTGCATTGTGCTGCGATAGGCTCTTG